GCTGCAAGTAGGAGTATGAGGTACAAAACGTGGGATACGATGAAGATATTGAAGGGAGAAAATACTTTACCATGGGTGTGCATAGGTGATTTTAATGAGATCCTTAGGCCTGAGGAGCAAATGGGTCCGAACGAGCGAGACAGCTCTCAAATAGCTGGATTTCGGGAAGCAGTTGATGTGTGTGAACTGGCGGATATTGGCTACAAGGGCCTAGATTGGACGTTTGAAAAAAGGATAGTTGGAGGGGAGTATTGTAGGGTCCGGCTGGACCGAGCTTTAGCTACTCCAAGCTGGTCCTCGATGTTTCCCTTTGCGTCGTTGGAACACCTCACTGCAGCGAAATCAGATCACAACCCCATCCTCCTTCTCAATGAGTTAGAAGTGGGTAATCTGAGAGTAGCTTTGAAAAAACCTTTCCACTATGAATGTATGTGGGAGCAGGAGGAAACCTTTATGAGTACGGTTGACCAGGCTTGGCAGAAGGATCAGCCGGCGACTACAGTGGCCGAACTAGCAGCAAAGATGACTACAGTAGCTGCGGCATTGAAACATTGGGGACGCACAACCTTTGGCTCGGTCCGCAAGGAGCTGCGGGAGCTGCGTCAACAATTAGCTAAGCTTAGAGCTGACCCTTTGAGGGTTGGACCGGGTGCAGAAGAGAAAAGAGTCCAGGATAGGATTGTAGAGCTCTCGTACAGAGAAGAAATCATGATGAGGCAACGATCTCGAGTCAAGTGGCTTTCTGAAGGAGACAACAACACCCGATATTTCCAGAAAAAAGCAAGTGTGAGAAGAGCAAAAAATGCAATAACAGAATTACATCGTCAAGATGGTACAGTTTGCAACGATCCCAGAGAGTTGGCTAGTATGGCTAGCAACTTTTATGAAAACTTGTACACTTCAGAGGGAACTATTGGGATGGAAGAGGTTCTCTCTCACATACCGGCTCGAGTTGACGCGGATATGAATGTTCGTCTTAATGCTCCTTACACCAATGAAGAAGTTAAAAATGCTTTATTTCAAATGTTCCCAACAAAAGCACCGGGGCCGGATGGTTTTCCTACACACTTTTTTCAGAGGCATTGGGAGCTTTGTGGAGAGGAGGTGACAGGTATGATCATTAGATTGCTTAATGGAGATGACTCACCGGAGGATATAAACCGCACGTTCATCGTTCTTATTCCCAAGATAGCAAGTCCAAAATTGTTAGGACAGTTTCGGCCTATAAGCCTTTGCAATGTGGTCTACAAGATAGCATCGAAGGTCTTAGCGAACAAGCTGAAATCCATTCTCCCCGAGGTAATTTCTGTGGAGCAGTCTGCGTTTGTCCCTGGTCGGCTAATCACGGATAACTTCATTACGGCGTATGAGTGCTTGCACTATATGAAAACAAGGAGGGTTAAGGGCAATAGATATTGTGCACTTAAGTTAGACATGATGAAGGCATATGACAGATTAGAGTGGGCTTATTTGAAGGAAGTGATGCTCAAGTTGGGAATCAGCCCTCGCTTTACTGACACTGTTATGAGGTGCGTCTCTTCTATTTCATTTTCAGTTCTCTTTAATGGAGGCAGTATGGAGGAGTTTACACCATCTAGAGGACTACGACAAGGAGATCCGATCTCTCCCTATTTATTTCTACTTGCAATAGAAGAGCTTTCTTGTTTACTTAAAGCGTAGGACAGTGGAGTGGGAGGCATCCAGGTTGCTCCCATGGCTCCTTCTGTAAATCACCTACTGTTCGCGGATGATAGTCTCTTGTTATTTGATGCCACGAGTGACACAGCTGGAAGGGTAAGGGACATTCTGAAAATTTATTGTGATGCGTCCGGACAACGCATAAACACTGACAAGTCCTCTATTTATTTTAGCAAAGGGGTCCCGGAGCAAGTTAGATTGGAACTTAAAAATCTACTTGATGTGCACAATGAGGCTTCGTCGGAAAAATATTTGGGTCTACCAACTGATGTTGGGAAAGCAAAAGAGGGATGTTTTAGATACTTGAAATATAGAATTTGGAAGCATATCCAGGGTTGGATGGAAAAGTGTCTGTCTGCGGGTGGGAAGGAGGTACTGATAAAATCAGTTGCTCAGTCCATTCCAACCTATTCTATGGCATGTTTCAAACTGCCTCGCGGGCTATGTGAACATATCAATGGGCTACTCCAAAAATTTTGGTGGGGTAGCAAGGGAGGCCAGAGGAAGTCGGCCTGGGTATCCTGAAGAACTATGTGCAAGCCAAAGCACATGGGGGGGATGGGTTCCGGGACATTGAACTTTTTAATCTTGCTTTGCTGGCAAGGCAAGTGTGGAGATTGCTTCAGGAGCCGGACACCCTAAGTGCAAGGGTTTTAAAGGCCAGATACTATCCTAACACGGACATTCTGCAAGCAACTCTAGGGGCTCACCCGTCCCAAGTTTGGAGGTCTTTACCGGAAGGGAGAGATATTCTGGAACTAGGAATAATAAGGAGAATTGGGACAGGTGCAGAAACACATATTTGGAACGACAATTGGCTACCACGGGCCAATCTGCCCTATCACACCAAACCCACCACAAATGGTCTCCGAGCTGATTGATCCTGTGACACGGTCATGGAACAGACAAGTAATTAATGAGCACTTCATTGTGCCTGATTGGGACGTGATCTTAAACATTCCTTTGAGTACAAGGGTGCAACCAGACTTTTGGGCATGGCACTATGAGCTGAGGGGCTCCTTCTCCGTTCGATCGGCATACAGGATGATTAGTGGTATAAAACACCAAAGAGAGGACTGGTTGGAGCATAGGGCGGGACACTCTAACTTGATACGGGAGAAGAAGTCTTGGTCGCTCCTTTGGAAGACAAAGGTCCCGTTCAAGGTAAGTGTTTTTGTTTGGCGACTTTCACATATGTCCTTACCTATAGGAGCAATGCGGCACCAGCGGAATATGGCAACCACTCCGGCGTGCTCCTTACGCGGTGCGGAGTCTGACTCTTGGAGGCACTCCCTTTTCGAGTGCCGAATGGCGCGGTGCGTGTGGGCTTTGGAAGACGAGGAGATTGTCGAGGTCTTGCTATCCAATCGGTCGGAAGACGCAAGGTTGTGGCTTTTCTGGTTGTTTGAAACAATGAACCAGAATGATCTAGCGAAGGTTCTTATATCAATATGGGCTATTTGGTGGGCGAGGAGAAGAGCCATACATGATGATGAATATCAAAGCCCTCTGTCCACTATGTGTTTTATAAATCGCTATCTGGAGGATCTGAATATAGCCACAGCTTTGAAGCCAGCATCCAATACTAGAGCTCCTGTGCAGCGAGTTCATAAGTGGATCGCACCGGGCGCCGATGCAGTAAAAATTAATGTTGATGGGGCCATATCCCGCAACGGCAAGACAGGGGCAGCTGCAGCGATATGCAGGGACGGAGATGGCAAATATTTGGGCACATCAGCAGTCACGTTTGTAGGCCTGGTTGATCCAACAAGTCTTGAAGCACATGCATGCAGCCAGACTCTTGCTCTGGCGCGAGACTTAAACGTCACACATGCGATCATAGCTTCAGATTGCATGCAGGTAGTGACGAATATCCATGGGAGGACACTATCTTCGTATTCATTGGTTATAGATGAAATAAAGGAGTCTATGAATGACTTTGTAAACATTAGTTTTCGTTATGAGTGTAGGGAAGCAAACTTGAAAGCTCACGCCATTGCTAAGGCAGCTTCAGCGTTTCCCTCTGGTCGTCGTTTGTGGCCAGGGACCTTGCCAAACATTGCTTGTATCGCTCCGGCTTTGAACCTTGAATAAATTCCCTAGTTACCCTCAAAAAAAAGGTTGGGGAGTGACCTTCCCTCCTTTGCCTCCTTACGGGAGGCCGGAGGTGCAGAAGCGCGAGCAAAGACCCGGAGGCACACCATCGCAGGCTCGACGTGAGTGTCATCCATTGCCTTTCGGCACACGGAGTGAGCTAGTAATACTCACGATTCACCAAGGTTCGACGTGCTTCAACTTCAATGGCTGCCTCCCCGCAGGCGTACCCGGAGCAGCAATGCACTTTGCCTGGCCGGCAGGTAGCTGCCCAGTGCAAGCCCAAGGAGAGAGCGACCTTTGGTCAGATGGGGCCTGCAGGAGTATTCAGGGTTTCTGGGCTGTACCCGCGGAGGGTTTCCACGAGAAAGAACTGATCTCCGCCATGTCTACGGGTGCAAGGTGTTCGATGAAATGCGTGAGTGGACACTTAATGTTCTCAACGGCAGGGAGTCATCCATCGTGTTTGTGATCTTTGTACCGTTGCACGCTTTGACCGGTTTTGCTACGCATATAGCAATCATCTTCTTGAAGCCGGGTTAGCTTTGAGCCTTGTGACTTTTTGTTCAAAAGAATATATGGTGAATCTGGAGACTGATATTTCGTTGCTTCTTTGGGAGGTGTTGCGTGGCAAACTAAGCAAGTGCAGCTGCAGAGTTGGGTCCCTCTGGTATGCTATAAGCATGACCATGGAAGGAAAGTCAATCAGGTATGAGCTAACTGTACTGCTATTTGGGCGTAGGCATTTAAAGGATATGCTCTGTGAAAAACTGAAAATACAATCTATGCACAATATATAGCTTTATACAGTTTGGTTTGTATGTACAGAATACAGATAGGCTTGTACAACAGTCACTTGTTTGTGAATCTGAACATTGTATAAGTGTAATTAACAGATGGAACTAATAGATTGGTATTTACATCATGAACATAATATAATACAGATAGGCTAATACAAAGCCACTTATTTACGAACCTGAACGTATAAATGTAATTAATATATACATAGATTGACCTATTGCAGGGGATCTTCACAGGCCTAGGAGGGATCCTAGGCCGCCCAAGAGGTTGATTGAGGAAGCGAATATTGTTGCTTATGCTTGAGTGTGGCAGATGAAATTGAAGCTAATGCAGAACATTCATCATACTCTGAGGTAAACATAATATATCAGCAATGCGTATTGTTTCATCATGTTGCAGTGATTGTGCTAGTCTTTGTCTTGGATGGGAATGAAATACTTGCTCTCCATTATGTCCTTGCAACCCCATTCTAGCTTTTCCCACCAGGCATATGATCCACAAATCCTATTTAGTCTCTGGCAATCATATGTCTGACCCAATGGAATTGTTTTCAGATTCGGGCAGTTCTCCACCCTAATACTTTCAAGACATGGAAAGTCTCTTGGGATGCATACCCTTCTCAGCTTTGGTAGGTCAGTTAGTACCAATGATCTCAGTTTTGGGAAGTCTGCATGGTGCTCTGTTCCATTGATCCGCCCACTCCTGGTCATATTCTGGTAATATTTGGCATATTCATTCCATGCGTCATCTACCATACCATGTATCTCTTGTTCTTCAGAGAAACCATTTTTTCTCCTGCATCTCTGAGTACTACCCTGTTCAATTCCCGAACTCTTGCTTTCCACCTCGTCGGTTGTTTCTTCAACAACTTGCTCTAATTCATGACAGTGATAGATAGAAAGCTTCTCAAGTGACTCCAGCTTCAGAACCCAGGTAACATCGTGCAATTTTTGGCAGTGGGAGATTGTAATTTCTAGGAGGTTCCGAAAGTGATGAGGCGAAGATCCAATAAGAACTGTTTCTAGAGCAGGAAGTTCAGCAAGGGTAAGCACTTGCAGACAAGATCTTCGCTTGTCAGAGTCAGCAATAAGCTGTTTCAAGTCAGGACATGATTCAACATAGAGCTCTCCAAGTTGCACCATATGTGTGAAGTCTGATATTTGGATCGACTGCATTTGATCGCAGTGTTTGAGGCTAAGGCGCTGTGTCGACTATGCCAGCGGATGTGTCTTGGTCAACTTCTTTAACACATCCTCGGCATAAATTGTGATACCAAGGAACTCAAGTTCTTTTAGGGAATCAATGTTCAGATCATTGACATCACGAATCCCATAGTTGCTTCGGAAGAGGTTTAGGACCCTTAGCTTGTGTAGCTTGGAACAATTGTCAAATGTCTCTTTAAGGGCCTTGGTAACACTTAAATCTAAATGGGTTAGTTCTTTGAGCACCCAAAACTCCTCAGGAAGCCTCTCAATGCATGTGTGGGACAAATTGAGATACTTAAGCTTGGACAATGTTTCACAGGGTGGAAGAGTTGTGATGCTGGTGTGTGAAAGATCAAGGACCCTCAAGGAAGGCATGAATTTGAAGATTGTTGGACTGAGCCTTTCCAAATTAGGATTATGCTGAACTAGCAAAGTTACTAGATTCCTGCACTCATGTGAGATACAAAGGTCCCTTATGTCATTAAACATGAGTGATATCCTTCTTGCTGCTTGCCACTCCCTCTCTGATGGAGCCCTCTCCAAACTCATTCCAGCCTTCACAATAATATTTTCCCGCACTGCAAGGGAAATCCCCAGATGGCGAATAATGTGGTGCATTTTGACCTTCGAAGAGTCAGATTTGCAACTCTCTAACAAGCATGCTGACAACAGGCTACGGATTATATGATGGCCTTTCTTGGGGTCCTGAGGTATCAACCCATCTGCCATCCAGTACTCCACAAGCTTATCTTTTCTGATTGAACCATATTCTGGAAAAAGGGTGCAGTACAGGAAACACCGTTGTTGTTGCTTGATCAACTTATCGTAACTGTATTTCAATTTATGGAACATTTCTGGTACTCCATGCAAGTCCTTTATGTCATCCTTGGTTGCTTGCACCGCCAGGCTCCAATCCTCGGGTTCTGTTAGTCCAGCAACGGCCCTCCCTATTACCTTGAGTGCAAGTGGCAAACCACCACAGCTCTGGACAATTGCTTCAGCATGCTCTCGTACAACATTAGGGGCAGGAGACTCAATGGCTGCAATGGCATTAGTGCTCAAATTGTTTTGGAAGAGCTCCCACGCTGACTCCTTCTCTAGGTACTCCATCTTGATCAAACTCTGGTGTGCTCCCATTTGATAGCAAACATCCTCATCACGTGAGGTAAGAATCAACTTGCTTTTGATTTCAGAATCTGGGGCTGGGATCCCGACATCTTCTAATTTGAATTTGTTCCGGACATCATCCAGTAAAATGATAAATTTCTTTCTTCCCAGTGCTTTTGCCAAGAATCTGGCACGAGTTTGCACTGTCTCTGTGTCATTCCAAGGCAAGCCAAGGCGGTCTGTAATCATGCGCTGGATGGCTGCTATATTTAGATTTCCAGAGTTGGACACTTCAATCATGATTACCACCTAACGAAGTCAATTTGAATCAGTAGAAATATAATGATCCAGTAAACATGTATGAAAAAAAATAAGTTGTGGATCCGCATGCAGTCAATCTTCTGACTTGTGAATAATTTATCAAGTGTAGGTAAAAAAAAATTGTTTCAGTGGGAGTATAGGTAAGTTAATCATTCTATGACTGCTAAACTGGTAGAACCAGGGGTCCTACCGGACCTGCTCCGGAGGTTGTAGGGGAAGCATGGAGCGGGACGGGGCGATGATCGGGCGCGCCGGCGGCTGGGCGCCGTCGCGTCGGAGGGAGATGGCGGCGGCTAGGGTTCCGGCTCCCAGAATAGGGATAATAATATTCTTATTGCTTAATTCAAAAAAGAGTCTTACAGCCTATATTTATAACCTAGATAACTTGCATAAGAATTAACCTAAGATAACTTGCATAAGAATTAACCTAAGATAACTTGTGGGCTAAGATTGCCCGGTGGGCCTAGCTAAACCGGCCATAACACTTCTCCCCGTCTGCACAAACAGCTCGTCCTCGAGCTGTAAGGTGGGGAAGCGCTTTCGGAACTCCTCGAGGCGATCAACTAGCGTCAAACACCTTCTCGACAGCTGGGGCGGCCAGGTCGGCGGCAACGGCGTCCTCCGGAATGTAGTCTGCAACCTCTAGGTAGAAGAGTCGCGGGCAGGCATGGCCGGGCGTGTAGGGCTCGTCGCAGTTGAAGCACAACCCTTGGCGGCGACGCTCGAGTAGCTCGGCTGAGGTGAGCCGGCGGAACGGGCGCACCGCGGTCGCGGCGAGGGGTGCCGCAGAAGCTTGCGCAGGCCGACCCTACGCGGAATCCGACCCGGGTAGCGACCCAGCGGTCCGGGATGGTGATTCCTGTTGGATGGCCACCATGCGGTGCTCGAACGCGCGGGCGTAGCACATGGCCGACTGGAGATCCTGGGGTCCCCGGAGCTCCTCGTCCACGCGGATGTGATCCGGAAGTCCACCGACAAAGAGGTCGGCCCACTGCTGCGCCGTCACACCCGACGCATGGCATGCCAGGGCCTGGAAACGGTCGGCGTAGTCCTGCACCATGGAGGTGAAGGGAAGGCGGACGAGCTCCGCCAGGCGGCTCCCGCGAACCAGAGGCCCAAAGCGAAGGAGGCAGAGCTTGCGGAAGCGCTCCCACGGGGGCATGGCACCCTCGTCCTGCTCGAGGGCGTAATACCAGGTGTGTGCCGCACCGCGGAGGTGGTACGAGGCGAGCCAGGTACGCTCCAATGCGAGGGTGCGCTGCCCGCGAAAGAACTGGTCGCACTGGTTGAGCCAGTTGAGGGGGTCCTCCGTGCCGTCATAGGTGGCGAAGTCGATCTTGACGAACCGCGGCGGTGTCTGAGTCGGAGCGACGTGTCGAGCTAGCTCAGAGGAGCGGAGCAGCGAGGCGGGTGGCGCCTGGTCGGAGTACTCCGGGTAGGGACTGGCGGAACCGGATGGCCCACCGAACTGCGGGAACGGAGTCGGCTGTTCGGGGGCCGTGGTGTAGACCGGCGATGGTGAAGACCCATCCGCCCACGCTGGGAGTGGCGACGGGGAGGGCGGTAATCGGACCTGATGGATCGGGAGGCCGGTTGGCGAGGGTGCCCCCGAGCTGGGCAGGGGCGGCGCCGGTGGTTGCAGCGGCAGCAGCGGGGGCTGGACGGGGGCAGCGGCTGCCGGGAACGGCAACTGCTGCAGGTGCCAGAGGGGCGCCATCGATGGTGGCGGCGGCAGATGCCACAGGCCCGCGGCGGCTGGTGGTGGCCCACTGGAGTTCCCCGTCTGGAACGGCAATAGCGGGGGCCCGCCGCCTGCGGGTGCGCCCGGGAACAGCCACGGCGCAGGGTGGCCGTAGGTGGTGATCGGCGCAGCCGGCGGAAGGCCGTACGCTCCTGCCATGTACTGGTGGTACTGGTTCATGTGGAGCCCTTGGACGGCCGTCACGAGCTGTTGCAGCGTGCTGGTCATCTGTTCCGGCGTGAAGACGGCGGCTGGTGGCGGCGCGGAAGTGATGGGGGCCGGCGGTGGTGAGGAGCCCACGGCGGTGACTGGGCCCGACAGCGTGGAGGCCCCGGCGGTGGTCATTGGGGTGGACGTCATCGGCACGGTGGTCATCGGCACGGAGGTGGAGACGGGCAGCGGCGGCGATGGTGTTGATGAAGACATGATCGAACCCAAGTCTCTGGATACCAAATTGGTAGAACCAGGGGTCCTACCGGACCTGCTCCGGAGGTTGTAGGGGAAGGATGGAGCGGGACGGGGCGATGATCGGGCGCGCCGGCGGCTGGGCGCCGTCGCGTCGGAGGGAGATGGCGGTGGCGGCTAGGGTTCCGGCTCCTCTGGGAGCCGGGCAATAGGGATAATAATATTCTTATTGCTTAATTCCAAAAGAGTCTTACAGCCTATATTTATAACCTAAATAACTTGCATAAGAATTAACCTAAGATAACTTGCATAATAATTAACCTAAGATAACTTGTGGGCTAAGATTGTCCGGTGGGCCTAGCTAAACCGGCCATAACATAAACGTGCTTATGCTCTCACTCCTGTTCGCATTGTGAGAGAATGTTCACTCATATTTTTCTTGTTCATTGCCGGACTGATTTAAAAGCCCACTTATTAACAAAATAACTGGGACATACTAATATGAGCAAGGGAGATGTTCTGCTTGTGTTGATTCCAATCTATCTGAGCAAGGGAAGCAGTTCTATTCTTTATTCAATTAACTATAGTAACTTCAGAAATATGCACGCGAGAAATGCAGTCAGGCAAGGTAAAACATTGTGAATTTTTGACTCTGTGATATCAGAGAATGTACACTAATCCAAATTTCTGGGAAAGAAGAACATAGTTAAATATGTGGGGTTCTGGAAAAAGGGTGTTTTTTTTTCACTTCGTATTTTTTGCTGTATACATTCAATATTTTCAGAACACGTGTTTAAATTCAAATTACTCTGAAAATTTTCTTCCTTTTATCTAATTAATGCCACTGTAAACAAAGGATCGATACTACCTTTTATTTCTATGAAAACCATAAAAATTATAATTAATGCATATATAGAGAAATGAAAATAAGTTATTTATCTTGGTTGCGAAATATTTGGAGAAATATATAATATCCATCAGATGAAACTGCAGTGTATCTTTAAGTGGTTAGATGTATGCACATAATTAGTGAACTGAGAAATTTGATGTTGTAGGATTTTATAGCAAATGCATACGCACTTCTGGACAAAAGCTCGATTTGTACACTTTTACTTGAAGTTTAGTTGAAAACGTTTTAAATGGAAGGTTTTATATTAATTCCAATCTACTGTAAAGAAATAGACTCAAAGGCGTACATTAACTTTTGTTACTGTGTTCATTTTAAGTTTGTCTGGAAGCATATAACAAATCTCATCTAAATGTTCATCTAGGCAATGTATCATAGTTATGTACCTGGTAATCGGTGCCCCACTCCTTGAGTTCATTGTTGAAGGTGTTGAGGAGGGTTGTTTTCCCAACCCCTCCTGGACCCCAAATTCCAATGATGCCCACATTGCTGCTGTTGAAAAATTCCCAGAGATTCTTCAGCACAGGCTTGATGCCAAGGGCTTCTATCCTTGGTTGATCCTCAACCAAAGCTGGCAAAGGCTTGCTTCCGAATACCTTGAATTGATTCCCTTCCTCAATTAGCCCACGAAGATCCTCCAGAATCTCAAGAACACGCTTGCGAAGACGATAGCGTTTCCCAAGGCTTAGGGAAGAGCTACAGAAGCAAGAGTATTGCATGAGTTGGTCACACTCTTGTTCGATGGCATCAATTGGGACGAGGACTCCATCGACCCTGCTCAGCCATAATTCGACTCGAGGATCGCACTTGTTGAGCTGGTTGGTTTCAACGCTAACTTGTTCTTGAACCACCTTCTCTACAGCTTGTAGGTCTTCAATGGCTTTCGTAAGGGCTCTCCGGTTGCGCTTGATGCAAACGGAAGATGAGAAACGTCTTGCAGTAGCTGCTGGTGCCCCTGTGTTATTGATGAAGCCACACACAGGCTGCAGGGCTGCACAAATCATCATGCTAGGATCAGCCATGTAAATGGGGGTGTTCTGTGAGGAATTGTATGGATATTAGGATCCAGCTCAATAGTTCAAGAAAGGAAAAAAAATGCTATGGAACATATAGTACAAAACTCTCTTTCTCTCTCTTGTACTTCCATAAACTTCCTATTTTCTCTCTATCTCAATCCAGTTTGGACACTTCCTATTTAAGAGGGCTAATCTATTAGCTATGACGGGGCATAATGTAGAAAAGACCGCCCCGTGCAGCTTCCTGGAATCTACATAGTGGCTTGGATTAGAACGGAGCACAGGGGCTAGTTTCTTTTAATTAAGGTACATGATGGCCCCTTCGTCAACTAATAGCAGCCTGTAAGCTTCCAATTTTCTGTTTTTTATGTATTACCTTTGAAGAAATGCTTTAAAACGTTTCTAGAGTATCAATACCTTAGGTCAACAGAAGATGCTACTTCTCACATCAGACAGAGATGGCATGTACACGCATCATGCCTGCTGCTTTATTGATAAAAATTTGATGGTTAGGTTAGAGCGTAGACAACGATTTGACTTTTCCAACAATGAACATTACTAAATACTACTATTTCCTTTATCAGAGGGTATATGCTCATGTGATTCGACTATTCCTTTAGTGAATCTAGTCATGTACTTGCTTGTGGCTTATCATGTATCTTGGCCACAGCTAAGACACGCCGACAATAGGATCAGTCAGACCTGACTCGATCGCCCTTGTAAGTTGAAGATTGCAAGATAACAAGTGTTATCAGGAAATTTTCTCCACCTTAATCAGTTGATATTATTCCTAATCCTTGCTGAGTAGATGTATTTACTTCGTGTGCAAGTTACACCATTTTTTTCTTTTTTTCTTTTCCTAATCCTAGCCGACATAAGGTTTGGCATATCGCCCGTTACAACTCCAGCTAGGCGGGCTGGTACTTCGTGAGCAAGTCACACATTTCTTTTCTGTAATAGTTAGGGTACGCTTAGTTGACTTGCCTACAACAGTATTAGGTGATAACGACTAGATCGATAACCAATTGGGTTCCTACACGCTACCTTTTAGTGAAAACTGTTGCTGACTTTCCATATGAGTTTCCGAGAACAACCCACCAGCAGATTGGGATATAGATCACGAGGTTTATCCACTAGTCCATTCAGATACGTGTCAGTGTATCATCACACATTTATGATTTATCTCCCTGGTTAGCTTCCAAAAGGCTCGAACCATTCAGATACACATAATCTTGATTATATTTATTGAATACCTTCTGTAGAGGATAGCCCAACCAAAGTTAGAATGCAATTTCTTGTCGCAGAGTTTTTTCTTTTAATTTCCATCTGAGATCACTTGGTAATAGTAGTTTCTGTATATTTTTGTCCTGGACACAGCTCACATGAACGAGATGAAGAGAAGAGAAGACCAAGTCCCGTATCTGCTACGTTGTTCAATAGTACTGCTGGTAAGATACCATGACAAGCTACATAGTGTTTTGGGCACTCACGGCTCAAATGGGATTTTCAATAGTGCTGATATAATCTGGTGATTGGGACTCATGGCTCACCTCAATATGGGATATTCAGCCGCGCTGAAGCTTTTTTGTACGTGAAGAGAATGACCGAGTAAGACAATATGATCCAGTGGCAACTCGCGACCAGATGAAATATTTCTTGAATTTGCTAATCCTTAATTGCTTCAAAATTCAAATTGTGTCCGTCGATTTCATGAGCAGAGAGAGCAGTGTTCGAGGGATGGGGATGGTGTGGTTGCCCACGGTGTTCCGCTACTTTGGCAGTGGCAGCAATGTACAGTACGCTTGAAGATCACAACAAATTGGGGAAAATGTTTACAATTTTTTTAGACAAGTCCTTTTTTTTCAAAAAAATGTTCATGGAAGTTTTTTAAAACATTCACGGATTTTTTTTAAAAAAATCAAAGAATATTCATGAATTTGGATTTTTCTAATGAATTTAGATTTTTGCACGAATTTTAAAATGTTCATGGATTTACAAATATTCACAAATGTATTTTTAAAAACAATATTTTAAAATGGAAAATAAAAAGGGAAAAAGATACAAGAAAAAAAAATAGAAAAATGAAACCGAACAAAACAAGTCGAAAAACCAGGAGATACCCGACCCAAAAACCTAGGGCTCGCTGAGTTTGTTTCTATCTACACAGTAGCTAGTTAGGATGTAAACAAGTAGGATTGTCAAAAATATATTGGTTCAAGATTTTGAGAGAAGAAGAGAGAAGTTGTGCGGAGGTTCAATTTTTAGGATTATGGTGCGAATCAACCTCTGTTTGAGATGGTTAGGTGGACAGTGGTATCCCCAATCCATCAGGGTTCAAATCCTGATGCTCGCATTTATCCTGGATTTATTTCAGAAATTCCGGCGATACGCTTTTAGTGGGAGGAGACGTTCCCGTCGACTACGAGGCGCTTACGGTGACTTCGTAAAATCTCAAGATGATATGCCGGCTCAGTCTCTCGGAGGTGCTCATAGGGGTAGGGTGTGCGTGTGTGCATTTATAGGGGTGAGTGTATGCACGTTTATATGAGCGCTTGCGTCTATACTGTGTTCAAAAAAAATTCTTAGGATTATGGAAGAATCGGCCAAAAGAACGAGGCCTAATTCCTATCCAGTACAAACTCCGGCAAAGTTATTTTTGTAGGAGAGTAATTCATATCCAGAACAAACTCCGGCAAAGTTATGTATACGAGACCTGACGCGCGTGAATGAATACGTCCAGCATACGATTCAAAACAAGTAAACTTCCCCACGCCCCGAAATCTTCCAGGGAGAACATCATCTTGTAAGGCGCAGGGACCGAATCAGCCATGGAGAAGAGCGACTTGGAAGCAGGCACGATGCAGCAGCATCCCGCCGTCGCATCGCGCAACGGCGGCAAAGTCTTCGTCTACGTTGTCATGATCGCATTATCCGTACCCATGCTCCTGGCGTTCATAGTTCACGTTAATTAGCACCACTCCGAAGCAGATCCTCCTCCCGACTTTCCCCGTCAGCCTAGATGGTTACGACCGGCTGCAGACGCCCGCTCCCGCGATATCATCGACGTTCAACCTCACGCTCCACGCCGTGAGCAGCGTGAGCCCGCAGTCGCAGAGGCTCTGCCTGGAGGGTGGGTCGGTGGCCGTCTCCTACGCCGGCGCGGTGCTCGCGTGGGGCCGCGTGCCTGGGTTCTGCGTGGAGCGGCACGAGCAGAAGCATGTGAAGATGGTCGCGCTCGGAACTGAGGTGGCGCTGACCGACAAGCTATGCCGACGGATGTCGTTGGAGCGGCGCGAGGTCGAGGTGGACATGATGCTGCGTGGCTCGGCGGTCCTGGGCAGAGAGCGGAGGCTACTGTCGTGCCGAGTGGATATGGAACGTGCATCGTCACGGCCATCTATGTGCAAGGTCTATGTATATTTTGTATCGCACTAATATCTTTCTCTGGGGGTGTATTGCACTTATATCGACCCGTCATTGTTTTTCTCTTCACGTGATCATTGATTTTCTCTTTTTTTGCAGGGAGATCATAGACTTTCTCAAAATCAAGCATCAGGAGAATCATGTTGAGTTTGTGTACGATTTCTTGAAGAGCTACGGGACCTTCTAGAATATACCGCCCTGTGAACCACGGGTAAGCTTTAGCACAGATCTTAAAAGGAACGGTTATAAGAGCAATGAGTCGGAAGAGTTTGATAGAATCAACCCCTTGGAATAAGAGAGATCAACCCATAACTAGCGCAAAACCATTGAAAATAACAAACATTGCATCCTTTAGATGGGCCAAAATTTATGAAAGAAAACAATAGGCCAACTGTCCGGACCCGAGTGTATTTTCATAGACCACAATGTCAAGCACATTAAAACCATTCAGCTGTGCATCATAGGCGAGCAATGAACGTGTCCACGTGGGCATTAGTGCTACTGTTTTACCGATCGATATTTTTTTATGGTCATAGTAAAAAGGCCTCACACATGTGGCCCAGTCCCGCACTCCACGCAACCTCTCCTCCTCTTCTCGTCTCTCCTCTCCCTCGCCGCCGCCGCGGCCACTGCTTCTCCATACCCTGCCTCCTGTTCGCTCCGCCGGTGCGATGCTAGCCACACCGCAGCCACTCGTAAAACGGCGACGATGAGGAGGCTCGGCCCTTGGCGCAGACCCACGCTCCCGAGCAGCGGCAGCGTCGGATTTCTCTGTCTCGCGGCGCCAAGCCTCCCGTCTGCGTCGCGATGCCGCCGGCATGGAGGCCCAGGCTCTCGCAGCCTCTGCGGTGTCCGGTGCTCCGGCGAGGTCTCTGGGGACCACATGGCGGGGAACTGGCGCGGCTTCCGGTCGTGGGTTCCGGTGGCTCAAAGCCGTACATCTGAGCCGCCGCCTCCAGCTCGTTTATTCCATATTCCGCCTAGGGCTTCACCGCCATCGCAGATCCCGCGTTCGTCTGCTACGGGTCCTCCGTGTTCGTGGCTGCTGTGTCGACACCGAGAGAATTTCTTCATCCGTCAGGTATTACTCCCAACACATGCTTCTTTTGTTTTGGGGGTCGATCGAGTTTCCGTTGTTGGCTGCCAATTTCACGAGCGTTATCACCATGCTGGTGCTACTTTCGTGTTGGTTATGCTAGTGGTGGGGCTTTAAGCTGGGTTGAATTTCAGCACGGACGCTGTTATTTTGTAAGCAAGAACCGATGAGCCTAATTGAAATACTAGATCGTTGGAGCAAGCTACATCCGTTAGGTTCCTTCAAGGAATTAATCAGCTGGTGACGCAGTGTTTAGCGCCGGGCTATGGTGCAAAATTTGTTAGATTTGGTTCCTGTATAATTTTTATTTATCCAGTAAAAATCAGGTTAGTGTTGCCCCGAGAGGAAAATAAACCACCCACAAAGATTAATGACATGGCCGTGGTGTTACCCAATTTGGTGCATGCCAAGGAAGGAAGTCCTGTTTTTAGACCTGATCTTGTAATTACTTTGGTGCCTGCCCAGAATAACAGTGTGCACATGTGGT